CAATTAGATTAATCGTGATTAATAGATTATTGATATAATTTTCAACTAATTTAGTAATTGATTAATCGTTAACTGGAGTATAGAGACTCTAAAACATGCTTTTAGCTGACAGAGAAACCCACTTAGAGCAGTAATTATAAGAAAGCCGTAAAAAAAAAAAATCTATAATTTGCATTTATGATTAAAAAAACTTGTTTGTCTGTCAATGTACTCTATCCAGAACTCCACATGTGGAGTTTTAGTTTCATCTGGTTTAATTCTGTAAAAAATCTTCTTTAAGGAACCTTTTGATATCATTTATTTGTTGATTTATTAAATAACAATCGATAGATTAATCAATTAGCAAATTAATCATTAGTTCCAGCCCTAGATTAAACACAAACAACATACATTAGTATTTGAGTTTTGATTCAACACAGTCACTGCTGGTTTCATATTGAATGCAAACTTATCATCCTGATATGGACACTGCATCCCCTTTATGTAAGTCGGTTTAGATGGATGTGGGATGTCAGAACACGGTTTAATAAATTATTGACCTAAAGCTGACTTGCTAAGTTCGTTTCCTCAGCTTCACTGCAGAAAGGAAAAAAAATTCCGTCACCAGAGGTCGCCTTGAGCCCCTTTTCAGGATTTGTTTGTCAGTGAGAGAAATCCAATGTTCCTTCATAAAAGGTTATATGTAATTCTCTCTCTATATATGAATATTTTAATCTACTGAGTTCGCAAAAAAAATTATAATCTTTTCAAAATATTTCAATTTTATTATTTACAGTTTATCTTACATGGAATAGAGACTGCTTGTTAACATTCGTTTTCAATCATTGCCAATGATTTTCAGTTGGATATCAGTCTAGACTTTGACTAGGCCATTCTAACTTCGTACCTCATGTAATCGGATAGTTGTCCTACCGGAAGATAAACCTCTGCCCCATGACAAGTCCTTTGCAGATGTTAGGATTCTGCTTAATTTAGCTCCAAACGTCTTCCCATCAATTGTAACCACCTCCCCAAAGAAGCTCTCCCACAGCATAATACTGCCACCACCAGTTTTAACTGTTGGAAAGGTTTATTTGGAATTCATTTCCAGCTAATTTTTTTAATTTGCATGCAGATCAAAAAGTTAACTTAGCTAATAATTAGAGCATCTTCCTCTCCCTACATCTTTGTGAAATAATTTAAACATGACTGCTTTGCAAGATAAAACCCAGAATTGTGAAACTAATAGTATTCCTTTGAGAATATTTTTGCATCTGGGCTTCTAGACCTCCTGGTTTAGGTTATCCTTGCCCAGTATGTCAGTGTAGTTAGGTTGCCGTGTTGTGGTTGATCTAGAGTTGATTTTTCAGATGACGGGCTGAAATCATCTATGAAATATTCACAACCTAAACCTGCTGTTAAATTCTCCACAGCTTTCTACTTGACCTGTTTGCTGTTTCCTTAGTCTTTGTTATGCAATTTTTTAAATCACATATCTTTAAGAAACCTCACAGTCTTCACAGAAGAGGATCCACAGATGAGCCTACTCAATTTTAAACTATAATTTCACTGTACAATTTATTTTCTCTTAAGGGTCCTTAGAGCTCCAGGCAGTTGTCTGCTATTACTCAATGATTTAGTCTTCCCTGTGTTAGTAATAGCTGCAGCAGCTGCTATAAGCCACTCCCCTTTTATGAATTGTACATTGTGTCCACCTTCCTCTGCTTTTCATAAAGGCCTTTATGGCAAGCCATTTTATCATTTCATTTTTCAGAGCAGTAATATATTGCCTGGAAGTGAAAAGACAAAAACAAAACATCTGTTACATTTAATTACATTGTTTTTTTGTTGTTGTTGTTGTTTTTGTAGCATACAAATACAGATGAGTAAGAGGATCATGATAACTGCCTGTTTTATTCATTAAAAAGTCCAATAAAGTTAGAACTGGGCAAAAACAGATGGAGCATGACCAGAGTAGCAGGTTAGCAAAAAAAAAAAAAAGAGGCATTTGCTGGATTATTGAAAAGTCAGGAGAAAATAAGAGGCTTAGAAATGATTATGAAATGCCAGAAGTATGATTTGCTGAACCATCACCTTTGATATTTAAATTATTTTCGTTGTCGTTTCAGATATTCAGCAGCCCAAGCTATGGGTCATTGTTAGACTCATTGTCCCTCTGCAGCCTTTATGAACAAACACATTAGGTGGTAATAGAACCAGTTTAAAGTATTCTGGTTCAGACTTTACCTATTGGCCCAAGTGAAGTGCTCTGAATTTAACAGCAGGTATTTCACCTGTTGTCGTTATGTTTTTAATGTGTTTCAACATTTGTTAATGTGATACATGACATCAGGATTTCATTAACTCACTGTTCTCATGACATATTGGGACATTTCACTGACTTGCATTTATTTTATATGGCCTAACCCAAACCCTTACCCTAACTATTACCAACATATATCTGACCCTAACCTAAACCCAATTCACTCCTTAGTCCTAAACCTAACCCCAACTCAAAGAACAGAACTTTACCATATGGGGACATGTACCTGTAAGTCACTGCATGTTTATAAAAAAAAAAAAAAATCTCCCTCCACATTAATACAAGGTTTCCTAGTAGCTATTTTACCATGAAGGCCTCATTCACACAGTCTCCTCACAGTTGTTCTAGAGATGCATCTGCTGCTAGAACTCTGTGGGGCATTGACCTGCTAAATAATCTGAGCTGCTGTTAACCTGCGATTTCTGAGGCTGGTGACTTTGATGAACTTATCCTCTTCAGCAGAGGTGACTCTTGGTCTTCCTTTCTTGGGGCGGTCCTCATATCTGCCAGTTTCTTTGTAGCTCTTGGTGGTTTTTACGACTGCACTTGGGGACACTTTCAAAGTTTTGCCAGTTTGTCAGACTGACTGACCTTCATTTCTTAAAGTAATGATGGCCACTCATTTTTCTTTACTTAGCTGCTTTTTTCTTGCCATAATCCAAATTCTAACAGTCTGATTCAGTAGGACTATCAGCTGTGCATCCACCTGACGTCTGCATAACACAACTGATGGTCCCAACCCATTTATAAACCTGACAGAGGACACTTGTGAAGTGAAAACCATTTGAGGTGACTACCTCTTGAAGCTCATCAAGAGAATTCAATATATATATATATATATATATATATATATATATATATATATATATATATATATATATATATATATATATATATATATATATATATATATATATAGAGAGAGAGAGAGAGAGAGAGAGAGAGAGAGAGTGAAATCCGCTTATAGTGATCACCTTGGTCCAGAGCCAATTTGAACACTATAACCAGTTGATTACTATATCCAAATGTACCATTATTTCACTTCTTTTTTATGCAGAATATCATCTCAATGCCATTTGTGTGTAATATAATGTAAATAAAATGAAACGGATAGCTTCCGCATTTACTGAATTTTATTACAGTATTATTCAAGTTTAATTACAGTACACTGCTGTGCACAGACATGACTTTTGTAGCCTGGTGCCACCAGTGCATTTTTTGTAACAAGTCTGAAGTTTGAAACAAACAGTTTTATAGAACAACAACATAGAAGATAACTGCATAGGCTATAGAAAATTAAAGCTAGGCTACGTCTGTTTTATGTTGCGGATCTGCTGCAACGCATAAAGAAATCACTACACATATTTATCCATGGTTCCCTGGTCAGAGTGTTGTCCAACACTGAGTTCACTTCTTTTTCAAAATGATGTAAAAGGTCAAAGTTTTTGAAACCAACATGCAAGAGACCAGTCTTTAAAATGCAAACTGCATTCCTCATTTCAGCTCTGGAAGAGACAACAGTCTCCTCTTCTTCATCCTCCTCCTCGCTGCATGCAGCACTAGTACCTGCACCAAAAACGCTCTTGTACCTCCGCAATGACGTCCTCATCCGTGCTGTCATCAGTTTCGATCCAATTATTATTGTTTTTGCACATTTTTACATTCATAGAAATGGCCAAAATATAAGCGGATTTCTTGATTACTATAAACGAGTTACATAAAACAGCATTCGTATAGAAATTATTCTGTCCCAAGCCTTTTAAATAGGGCTTGGTAAAAAAAAATATTTAATCGATTTTGAATTGATTCCTTTACATTTTTACAAAATCGATGTCTAGGGAATGAGATCGATTAGTTTTATAGTGACGCATGTGACGTTCACATTCAATGAGCAGGAAAGATGCACTCAAGATGACTTCAAGCCAGACAGCTGCAAATATAGCCAATAGATTGACTGAAGACACTAACAATGGGGGCTGACCAGCAAACACCCTGTAGTTGTTACAGACAATGCTGCACATATGGTTTGTGCAGTGCAGATAATGATGCTCATGCATGACTGCTGTATCCCCTCTGTGACGCGTCTGATCGCTCGAGTGATGCTTCAATTTTTTACTTTTCACAAACAAGTTTGCACTTTTGAGACAGTTTTGTTCACATCTCAAGCTTAAACTGTCTTATTTACGAGATTGCACCTTGTGTTTCATATGACAGGAAAAAATTGAATACATGAGTATTTTATATAAATACATTTGAACCATTTTCATTATATCAAAAACAGATCAAATTGAAATTAATCGATTTAGAACTGGATGAGTCAAAATCGAATCGATTCAGGACTTGGGCTATTTTTGAACACTATAAGCAGTTGATTACTATATCCGTAACTACTATAAGCGGATTCCACTGTATATATATATATATATATATATATATATATATATATATATATATATATATATATATATATATATATATATATATATATATATATAGGCTATATATGGGCAACCCATCTCTAATGCTACCCTGGGTAAGTGCCATAACTAAAGGTCTGATGCATTTTACAATCAAAACCAAACCAAAAAGAATGTGAGTTTTTCTTCCAACACCTACAACCCATACTGCTCAGCTCTGGCTTTTAATCTCTTCGTTTTAATAAATGTTAAAACCACTTGCCACATGCCGCTCAGGGATCGCCAGCAGCGGGGCTGATCTAGGCCTGCTCAGCTGACTCCCGTCTTCTCCGTGGACCGCATCCAGTCCCCGCCCACCCGGTAGACGCCGTGGTCCGTTACGAGCTTACATTAACAGAGCGGCCTCAGATGAGCGGCGAGCAGGGCTGGAAAGGTGAGTTACCGTGTTTGTATTTCATGTACGAGATGATAACCGGTTAAAATCGTTTCTTCATCTTTGCCGCTGAGGTTGAAGACGCTTATCCCTCAGAAGGAAGATTCGCGCAGCAATTTCCGGAGATTTAGGTCTGTTGAGAAACACATTTACCTTTTTATCTGATGACAGTGGAGGCAGAATGATTAAAAAGTGTTGCGGACGTGTTTTGGTTGGACGTGCGGGGTTTAATGCGTGGTTTTTACACGCAAAAAAAGCTAAAATAAAGACGACTCGCCACGTGTGTGGATATAGAAGGAAACACGAAGAGGCTGTTTACGGAAGGCGATGAGAGTGACATTAAAGCTGCTGTTCCTGCAGGAAAGGTCAGCAGCTGCTTACAAACTATGTCAGCAAAGATGAATGTTGTGGCTCCTCAACAGTGGTGGTTCTAGAAAGATATGTGCCTGGGCAAATTTCTATTTCTGTCACCCTCACAGTCAACAACACACACCCAGTCCCCCAAAGAAAAACAAACAAATAAATCAAAGAAAAACAAACAAATAAATCAACATTATAAGGAAAGAAGGTCGTCATGACTGATCCCAAATTGTGGTATAAATGCCACTCACCATAGGCAGGTGGTATTTGCAGACTTTAAACTTAAAAGTATTGTTCTCAGCTAAATTTGTGTTTTACACTTGTGGAAACAAATGACAAATTGTAAATTAATCTGCCAAATAACCACAACTTTTTTCCCACGAGAGGTATTTTTAAACGTTTTTATATAATTAATATAAGAACCTAAGCTCCATTGAACATATTTTAATCCGTTTTCCTCGTCGATATGCAGTTCAACAGAGCGAGGCGCGCTCCCGCGACTGGGGATGCATATTTCGGCAGGCATGCACTTTTGTAGCCTGACGTAGTCCGACTCAATTCTAGTCAGAATATGAGTCTGATACTGCTCCATAGTGCTGTGATTATGGGGCGTGTTTCGAACGAACCAGGAAAAAAAATGCGCTACTATGGAGCAGAGCCAGACCGAACTTCCCCGAACTCAAACCTTGTGGGCGGGACTAAGTTCGGACTGGCACCCAGGCTAGCACTTTTGGGCATAAGACGTGGAACTTTTGACGGCTGAGGGATTTTTCCCCAGGGAGGGGATATAAGTTCAAAATAGACATATACGTAAAGAAAAAAATCAAATGTATACTAAGTTATCACACCAGTATATTTATATGAATGCCAACAACAAAATACTTTATAAAAACAAAACATAATGTCATGTACAGGTTTAATTTTTGTATATAAATCTTGCACTTCTGAGGCTTTGTGATGGTAAATATGTGTTTTTCATGGTCAAACATGGTGTTACAGACCTAAAAAATAATAATTTGCCAGTTTAATAATGGGAAGCTATTAGTCAGCTTTATAAAATACTATTTTCTGAGAATGTGTTTGAGAGCAACTATACTAATTAAGCAACATCTAGAAAAAGTCAGCTATATTATATTATTTTCCACGTGAATCCCAGATTGTTCATTCTTCTTTGCTTTTTCTAAAAAGCGCTTTAAATCAGTCCTACCTGTCTTAAACCATGCTGGGTCAGATCCTGACGTTTGAAAAAGGAGGCAGGGAAAGCTGAATAAAGTGATAGCCTCGCTAAATGCAGTTAGCCAAGCCTTCTTGCTAAAACAGGTCCTGGAAAAGGACGGTTCTTGCACCATGTGTCTCTTTCTCTCTCACTCCAGTGCGTCTCCAACCCCCGTGACTCGACCTGTCAATCACCTGCAAAACGTCTGCGCTGTTGCGGGAGGTGGTGTACAACTTTTAACGAGAGTCAATGGGCAAAGATTTTTGCGCCCTAGTGCGGAAATATGTCACCAATCCAACAAAAAATTGAATGACGCTTTACTAGTCATTAAAGATTAAATATTAATCTTGATCATCTAAGAAATACAGATTAATATATTTCAAATGTTAATTTAAAATTGAATTATAAAAAAATAAATTTATATTTCTTATCTCTCAATCAATTCTGAGGCCTTTCTTTTCTTCTCCTGAACTTCATAGACACTTTTTCTCTTACAACCCTCGGCCATTTTTAAAGAGGCACGGTGAGAAAGGTGAGCATCAAAGGCTGTCTGGAACCGTAGCTCACCACGGATATACGCCTGAAAGTGTGCATGCGCAGAAGATATAGCTAACGGGACGAGCACGTAGGACGACTACGTAAAAATATCACCAGAATGACTGACAATTATATACCTTTAATTTATTTGTAAATTTTATCCAAAAACTTGATGAAACTGTTTAAATATAATCTTGTGAGACTCGTGTAACTGTATAGAGAGCTGCAGGTGGAGGATGTTGGGTTTAGAGATGTCCCGATCCAGGTTTTTGCACTTCCGATCCGATACCGATATTGTTTTTGGACTTCCGATCCGATACCGATACTGGCCGATACCAGCCTATCCGAGCATGTATTTAAGTTTAAGTTAAAGTATTTAGCCTTAGTTGTAAGACTCATGTTGAAAAGGGTTTTAGTACTCTTGATAACATCTAGCCAGCTGAATTAGGTGAGATTGAATAAAACACAATGCTTGGTAACAACAAACTTACCTGTTTATTAAGAGATAAACACAAACTGGACAAAATTATGAATAGCAATCTGAAATTGCACAGTGAACAGTAAAGCCGTAAACAGTTAAAGGTGCAAGTATTACTGTAAGTTTTAATAAAAATGCAAAACAGGGAAACACTGGCGCAAAATAGTGGAATGGATCATTTCAATTGGAGAAACTGGAAAATACGGACCGGATTTAAAAAAAATAAAAACTGGATTGGCAGTCTGGATCGGCATTTTACATGCTTTGCTGATACGCATTTTTTTGCCAATATCGGCGTCCCGATCCGATCCACGTATCGGATCGGGACAAGCCTAGTTGGGTTCATATTTTTTGCTTAATATATTGACATTAGAAATAGACATTTTAATTAACAAACTATAAATGTGAAAATATATATTTATATTTTTTAAATTTTAAACAAAATCAATTAGTGTTTGATACACAGCTTTGGTTTGATAAGGTTTTTAATATCGTCTAGTTTTTTTGTTTTAAGTTTTTCACATGGGGAATCTCAAACAGCCCATAACTCATAGTTTCTCAGAAAACTGGATGTTCAGATAAGGTGATTAGAGAAACAATACTGCAGGTTATAGTCTGTGCAGATGGTGAAAGAGGAAGTCGGGAAAGTCAGGTTCTAGTGCCATAAAGCAGGATAGTTTGCATCCTAACGTGTAGATATACTTGACTATTAAAAGGAAGGAGAAAAGGGACGTTTCCTCTATTCTGGTTCATCTCAGTGATATTTTTGTGGAAAAAAAATTTATTTTGTGCTTTTTCTTTTTCAGAAATACACCACTTTCAAATCACCTTTTGAATTTTATAAAATATCTAATAACACAGTGATGTTGTAAGGCTGATCCAGTCTATTCTGTTGTCTTATATCTTAAAATCTATTTCCCTTTCTCTTTGCTAACAGCAGGTTAAGAGTCATGTGTTCTTATTTTCTTTTTTTTGTTCTTTTTGATTTAATGCATCGGCACAGAAAATTCACTTTTCCTTTGTCAACTTGTAGTTGCACTTTTCTTTGTCAAACCAGATTGTTTAAATATATGTTTAAACCCACAGCCTTTACATTTAGGATTATAAAAAAAAAAAAAATTGGAATCTCTCTTTTGTTTGGGTTTTTTACCCTTTATTTCCCAATCTATTAGATGTCAAAACAAATTTAAAACCTGATAAAGATCACATTAACCGTATTGTGTATCAATAAGGTTTTAGAAGTGATACAAGGTGTGTTTTCCTTTAAAGGTGATTGCAAACTACATAACTGAATCTAAAAGACTTCTATTGTTGGTAAAATAACCTCAGAAGATGTTGCTCAGTGGGTAGTACATAGAGAGACGGCGTTAGATAACTTTGGACCAACTGCAGGGGGAACACTCTCACATAAGCCCTTTCATTCTGTGTTTTTTTAAAAGCTCTTGTCGGTGTCACGTTGGCCAGATTCCCTGACTCGTTTGTCCTTAAACCTATCAGAGTTTTATAAAATGTAAAGTTCTTGATGTCTGCGCATGTTTGATGCTGAAAGATAAACGGTTGATGGAGTTGCACAGGAAGTGAGCTCGACCGGCTGCGCTCCCTGGAGGCTTTAAAATATAAAAAAGATTCCATCTTTTTCAGATCATCTGACATGTAAAATAATCAGTCATGAGTGGAACATTTCACGTTTTTGTTTGTTTCTTAAGATCAGTTTTTAAAATAACAAATGGTTTGTTGTGAAAAAACAAAAAACGGATTTAAATATGCATCAAAACCTCATTAATCAAACTTTTAATGAGATCAGGTTTAATCACCGACTATCTTTTTAAAATTACCCTCACTTCTTCTCATGAAAGAAACGTAATGCCTAAAGGGATATTTTTATAACATTTTTGGAATCAATTTAGTTCAGTCTGGTTATTAAAAAATGGTTTTAGAAAAGAAAACACTGAAGTATTGTGTATCAAAAATCTGTTAAGACGTGCAGCTGCGCAAATTATTAGAAAACAAATCAGCATCGTTCCTAAAGGCGTTTATTAGGTCTTATAACCATCTTAAGACAAAATATTAAATAAGGTTGTTTTGGCTGCAGCCCAACAAGGAAGTGGAGCTTTGTTTTGTAATTTTAAGGTAGGGCTGTGAAGATTTGGCCCCATCTGTGCTGCACAATTACGTGAAGATAACCAAAGCTTTATCAAGTAGGCTTTAAAAAGTAGATAATGATGCAGAGGAAAATATTAATCCTGGCTCTATGAAGTTTTTTTTTTAAATTGGTTAAAACACCAGGTTTATATACTATAGCAGTATATTATGTGTTTTTATTCGAGTATTTTTGATCAGAGTATAAGCTTATATGAAAAGGGTCCAGTCAAAGTCCACACGGAGCTCCTGTTAAGAATCTGAATCAGCAAAGAGGAGTGAATAATAAAATCAGTGATCTAAATGAGAAAATATTTTTTAAACGGACTCTGACTTGGCTGATTAGTTAAAGAAGCACTCACAGGTCTGTGTTTGTGATTATAGGTCTCCTTTAAGGGCACAGCGGTCGCAGTGACATGGGCAGCCAACGTTCTTTCACACCCTGTAGAGCAAACACCAGAGTCCTGCCTGCAGCGCCAAGCAGAAAATGACTCAGCGAAATGGAATCAGGGGCTCGAGTGATCCCAGTCTCGACTCTGAGACCTCCAAGGCTTTCGAGTTGCCCAACGGTTTGGACCACGACGAGGCGCAGGGGGCGGCTGACTGTGAGGGAGGGAGGGGGAGTGAAAGCGGAGACCCGGTGGCTATAACCGGAGGAGGCGTCATAGCTCCGGATGGCGGCTGGGGTTGGGTGGTGCTGGTTGCAACCATCCTGGTTCTGGCTCTGACCCTGGGCTTTCCCTCCTGTGTGGGAATCTTCTACACAGACCTGCAGAATGAGTTCACCGCCACCAACAGCGAAACGTCTTGGGTGCCCTCCATCATGACGTCAGCGCTTCATGCAGGAGGTAAACTGAATCAGGGCTACCTCTAAAGTCCAACACTAACACATGAACACTTTATATCCCAGCAAACCATTATGAGCCTGAGAATAGGGTCCAGCTAACGACTGAAGTTACAGTCATATTAACACCTACGAATGTAAGAACATCCTTGGAGGTTGCCCTTACTACCCCACAGAGGAGGGTGTAAATGCTTTCATTGTTCAGTGGAACACGTGAAAGCTGAGAGGGAGAATTTGTGAGTGTTTTGAACAGTCTTGCTGTGTTTGTGTTAGTTTAGATGAGATTATTTCATGAGAAGCGGCAGCCAGCTTATTTCCCAAAGCCCAAACTGACCCTGTTATTTTTTTACAGAGGTGTGAAGCTCGTAGATTTTGCTTTTGTCATGCATCTGTCTGTTTACGTTCCCCTTTTTAATTGTCTTGGCATGCAGCCAGTCACTAATTTACGTACACTCTACTTAGCTTGAGTGCCATCCTAATTTTGGGCTTTAGCTTTTAATTCAAGAAGTTTAGTTCAAGAAGCCATTGTTTTTAAAGGTGGAAGGATCATGCAACAAATATATTAGTTTTTGAAGTCGACATTTGATTATTTTATTTAACAGAAAATTGTAGATTTGTGTTAAAAAAAAGGTTGATTTATTGTCACGCAGACAAGAATTTAAAGAACGGGTCACACAAGTTAATCCACAACCTCAAAGTTGACCTGTTGTATTCATTCTAAAACCAGTTCTGATGTGGATTTGGGATTATTGTCCAGCTGGAACACCCAGTTGTGTCCAATTTAAGATCAATTTAGGTAACTTGAAGGGTGCTTTCTTTCTTTTGTTCCATCCACCTTGCACAATAGCAATAACAAACTCTCAGCATGATTCTGCCACCGCCGTGCTTTACAGTTGGTACTAGGGTTGGGCGGTTTGCTGTTGCAATATAATCCCACTTTAACAAAACCCACTTTTCAAATTGAACACAATTTTGGTCACGTTGCATTTAACAAGAGAAGGACCCTTTAGGTGGCAGCAGTACACTGAAAGGGATTTTTTCCCCCCCCAGAAAGGTAGAGAAAGTTGCAGCTAGCATGCAGATCCATGCATGCCAGTAGAAGTAAGACGTATTTCACACAAAAGTTACCTTACAATTCTGCATCCATGGACTGTGGAGAGGAAAACTTTCAACATAATGAAAAAAACTGAAACTACAAGCTTATGGTTGGTTCAAAGGAAAATAAAAAATAAAATTGCAATCACAATATTGCAGAAAAATAATCGCAATTTTGATTTTTGATGAAATCGTTTAGCTTTAGTTGGTACAGTGTGTTTATGTTTTAAAGGCCAGTCCTTGTGGCGTATTGTAAATTGTTACGTTTTCAAGATTTTATTGCTGGACTCTCACATTTAGCTGGTTTTACTGTATATTCATTGACTCGAAATGCTTCCATTGATAAATTGGCGATGGTTAAGCAGGTGAGATAGTTCAGGGTAGCAGAGACCAAATTAAATTAGGTTATTATTGCATAATCAGGCTAAATAATGCATAAGATCCCTATTGATATCATTTATGATTTAATTGAGACTGATCTGATTATATATGGACATGTTTGCATTGAATTAAGAAGCCGTTCTCTGTGAAGATAAGGATAAACTTACATTAAATCTCATGTTACATGGAAAGTGAATGAATAGTTCTGTGAAAATGCTATATTTTTTTAAAATCCTTTTTAGGTAGAAAATTACGGAAGAGGATTAGGGCCACTGGAAAAAAAAATGTTAACTGACTTTTTTTCTCAGAGTTCTGACTTTTTTTCTCAGAGTTCTGACTTTTTTTCTCAGAGTTCTGACTTTTTTTCTCAGAGTTCTGACTTTTTTTCTCAGAGTTCTGACTTTTTTTCTCAGAGTTCTGACTTTTTTTCTCAGAGTTCTGACTTTTTTTCTCAGAGTTCTGACTTTTTTTCTCAGAGTTCTGACTTTTTTTCTCAGTTCTGACTCTTTTTCTCAGAGTTCTGACTCTTTTTCTCAGAATTTTGACTCTTTTTCTCAGAATTTTGACTCTTTTTCTCAGAATTTTGACTCTTTTTCTCAGAATTTTGACTCTTTTTCTCAGAATTTTGACTTTTTTTCTCAGAATTTTGACTTTTTTTCTCAGAATTTTGACTTTTTTTCTCAGAATTTTGACTTTTTTTCTCAGAATTTTGACTTTTTTTCTCAGAATTCTGACTTTTTTTCTCAGAATTCTGACTTTTTTTTATTGTCAGAATTCAGTCAGAATTCTGAGATTAAAGTCAGAATTCTGAGAAAAAAGTCAGAATTATGACTTTTTACCATACTAAACTAAACATACTAAAAAAATCGGTTAACTTTTTTTTTCCCACTGGCCCTAATTCTCTTCCGTAGAAAATAGATCAGTGACTGCAGACATTATTTCAATTCTGTCTCTTATCTAGTAAAATTCTTTTAGTTTTGTTTTTAGAGTCCTAAATAGATGTGTGCTGACCAGTTATAAAAGGATCCGTGCAGCCAGTGATGTCAACTTCCTCCTTTTTATCACAATGTTATGTATTCTAAATGTGACGCAGTAAACGGAGGGGGAAGTGTGAGGGCGCAAAGGTGTCTAAAGTCAACATGCAGCGGATTTCCAATATGTGCACAGCACAGTTCAAACACTAGTTTATTTTTTTTTTCCTTCCACCTGTAAATTTGATGCATATCCAGTAAAATTCAACTAAAAACGAACAAACACATTGGAAGGAAGAATGTGTCAACTGATTTTTATCAAAGTTGTGGATCTCTTTCGAGTAAATGTTCACTAAGCCAGAATACCTCACAGCTCTGTTCACTGTGTATTTATTAAGGTAAACTGTAAACCCTTCACTACATTTTTAACATTCTTTTGCAATCTACAAGAGAAGGAAGAATTTCATTTATTTATTTATTTATTTTTTCAGTTTTCTAGTTCAGTTTTTGTTGTTTGTTTTGTTGATTTTTCTCAGCCTTTCTCTCCTGCCTGTGCTTTGGAGATGGGCAGCCGCCCTCTGCTTCCCTTCTGGTGCTGATAAGGCTAATCCTCGAGGACACAGTATCAGCCTAATGCTTTTCGGTGTGTTGACCCATTTCTGGGGCCTTTCAAAGCTGCAAGTTTAAGTTGCTCTTCTCGACTAAATTTATGTCCTATCAGCTTGGATTCGGTGGCTACGCCGCATGTTGTCCATCCAGCACAAATCAAATCTAATGGAAAATGTTTTACTCTCCTGCTTTCTCACCAAATTGGTTAAAGCATGTGCTAAAGCTGTAGCACTAACTGTTACAGTTTGGGTTTTTGAGGCTGTTCTCATGGATTTTTGAAACAGGAATGCTTTGAGCTTTGAAATTCTCTTAATCCCAAAGAAATTGGATAAAAACTTTGAGGTTTATCTTCATTAAGCTGCACAAAGCTGCCACTTCCTTTCCACTTTTCTAAGTTGAAGAATTAGGAGCTGTATGGGTTCATAGCACGGACATGGCATTCAAGCACACAAAAAAAGAACTTGTATTAATTGTAGTGTTTTTCAGGTGTATTGTGGGTACTGTCAGCTTAACAAGATCTAATATTGCAGCTGAAAGTATCCTGCAGCCTTTTAGCTTAGAAACAATGTTTGGCATTGTTGAATTTATATCTTCTCCTTGGATGTTCGCTTTATGTGCGACACACTGTTTATAAACTAAGAGCATCACATGTGATCCACAGGTCCCTTCTGCAGCGTGCTGGTGGGGAAGCTGGGCTGCAGGCTGACCGTCATGTTGGGCGGAATCCTGAGTGGGCTTGGAATGGCCGCCAGCTCATTTACCCGATCCATCACTGAGCTTTACATCACCGCTGGAGTGATCACAGGTCAGCAGACACACAGCGAAGTCATTATTGTAGCTGAAATATAATGCTACGTTTACACCGGACGCAGCAGGCGCAGCAGAAGCAGCGAGTTTACATGCAAAGTCAATGGTTGACGCGCGTCAAGGCGCAGCAAAAGGTCCCGCAGCACGTTTTGAGCAGCAGGCGCAGCGCTTCTGAGCAGCTGAAGCAGCGCGTTGGGAGCGTTTAAGCATCTGACGCGCGTGACGCGCCTCAGAAACGCGCTGCTGCTCGAGATGGAAAAATTTAAATTTTGCTGCTCAACGTGCCGCGTCAACCAATCAGAGAAGCTGATCTGGGAGCTGGCTGGGAGAGAGACACAGCGCTGATGACACAGAGCGCTGTGATCACTCCTCTGAAACAGCTTATTGACGCCTAAATTAACTTAAAATGCAGAAATCTGCCGGCAGAATATGTTCGCTTTTAATATCCTGGTGCCTGCAGTTTAGATTATTTAGATGAAAAGCACCTACCAGCCGCCGCAGTGAACCGCGAGGAGGCGACCCGGCCTGTTGAATGGGATCCTACTGACAGCGCACCGCTGGGATGTGGGGGTCTGAGCGGCTCCGACAGAAATAATATTGGAAGGTGGGATGGTAATCTGGATGAACTGACTGCACTGATTACATTTTCAGGTGGATTTTCTCACTTAAAAACATATTAAAACTACTTTTTTCCCACTGATCACAGCAAATATAGCTGCAAGGCAAAGAAAGGATAGTGAAGCTCCGCCCGACGCTCCGCCCAACCGCGCAGCCAGAGCAGCAAAGCTGCTTCAGCCGCGCGTCAGAACTAACTGGTACAAGCAGTAAAAATGAAGCAGCAGACGCGATTTTGCTGCGTCCAGTGTGAACGTAGCATATTGGTTGAGGGTTACCAAAAAGCTTAAAATGAACTAATAGAAAGATACTTTATCCTTCAGTTAGTCAAATGTTGACGACCTTCAAAAACTTCTACAAGAAACAGTGAAAGGCTATGAAGTTTTCATGATACAAGTGTTTATGATTGATATGTTGTGTGCAATTTTAACAGCAGAATATGAATCTATTAATTTATATATAATTAATACATCATTCAAATCAGGGTAAAACCAAGTAATGATGGTTAGTTAAATGATTATTACTAACTACCAGGTGTTATTAAAGGCTTATCTTTGTGGCTGGATGTTTTGAACTTAAAATCCAAGATGTCTTCACCATCAGTAAAATGTAAAATCACTTTAGTTCTCTTTTATCCCTTGTTTTACTCACATGGTGTGACATCCTCTTTGCTTCTAATAAATAAAGTCTTCTGTTGTTTTTTTAGCTTTTTTCTTTACTGTGTTGTTGATATTGTTTTCAAAGGTGCTTTTAATAGAATATTTTTTCTTCTGTATCTTTATTATACGGAAGAGGATTAGGGCCACTGGAAAAAAAAAGTTAACTGATTTTTTTTAATTTTATTTCAGTATAGTATGGGGAAAAATTCAGAATTTTGACTTTTTTCCCATACTATACTGAAATAAAATTTAAAAAATCAGTTTTTTTTTTTGTTTTGTTTTTTGTACACATCTATTCCTTCATGGTGCCCATCTACATTAAGAGTCAGAATTCTGAGAAAAAATTTAGAAGTCAGAGATTAAAGTCAGAATTCCGACTTTTTTCCCATAATAAACTGAAATAAAATTTAAAAATCAGTTAACTTTTTTTATTTTTTTCAGTGGCCCTAATCCTTTTCTGTATTATTATTATAAATAGTATGTAAAATGATAAGTAATCTGCTTAAAAGTTGTAAAGATTTTATTCTCTTCTTTCTTTTTTCTTTTTGCTCCAGGACTTGGCTTCTGCTTTAGTTTCCAACCAGCTGTGACCATCCTGGGTCACTACTTTGTGCGTCGCCGTGCGTTTGCCAACGCCATGTCCTCCACGGGGACGGCTCTGGGACTCTGCACCCTTCCCTTCCTTGGAAACTATCTCCACACAGAGTTCGGCTGGAGGGGGAGCTTCCTCATCCTGGGGGCGGTCCTGCTGAACTGCTGCGTGTGCGGAGCTGTGATGAGGCCTCTGGAGCCCAAAAAGCACCGCGGCCAGCCGCTCATGAACCACGAACCTCTGCTAGAGAAAGAGACGAAGCAGGAAGGAAGGATTCGGACCATATGGAGGTTCCTAGTGACCTCCCTAAAAAAGCACATGGCCTTCGATCAGCTCCACAACAAGCGTTACTGTGTGTTTGCCATAGGCATCACCTTAATGATGCTGGGCTTTGTGGTGCCGTTGGTGTACCTGGTTCCTTATGCAACGGCACACGGCATGGAGCCGGGTCGGGCCGCGCTGCTGCTCTCCATCCTGGGTATTGTTAACATCGTGGTGCGGCCGCCCTTTGCCATCATCTTTAACATGCCCTGGTTCAAAGGGCGGCACATCTACGTGTTTGCCTCCGCTCTGCTGTTCAACGGGCTCAGTAACAGCATCTGCTGCATCGGGGCCTGCTTCCCCGTTCTGCTGGGATATGTGATCATGTACGGGCTTACAATGAGCGTGGTCGGATCGCTGATGTTCACCGTCTTGATGGATATAGTGGAGATGAGCCGCTTTCCTTCAGCGCTGGGTCTGCTTGCTGTCATGGAGAGCATCACGCTCCTGATTGGACCTCCGCTGGCAGGTAACAGTTGAAGATTTACAATATAGATACGTTTCCTCTGAAGTCCACATGGTGTGATCAGAAACAACATAATGGATGGTTGAAAATCAGTGTTGGGAAGTAACAAAATACGTTTATTTGACGCATATCTTTACTTTACTTGAGCACAGTCAAATATTGTACTTTCTACTCCACTACATTTGGATGAAGCTGTTACTAGCTTGTTCCTTATGACTCAGCTTTGCTTTGCTTTGTAATCTACTGTTGCTGTGTTTCTCTCTTGAAATGCAACTTTAACATGTAAGATAGCAGCCTTTAGGACTGAATTTGGACACCACTGTTTTAGAGATTTGCATGAAATTGCACAAATTTGAGAAACTCAGGGCATATATTATTGTAGTTCATTAAGACATCAGTTTTTGCAATGTGGCCAAGTTGTTCAGTAGGATGACTTCTCAAATAGGGGTGTAAATAACAATCGTTTTGTATCGATACATCGATCCAACAGCCGACGATCCGATGCATCGATACGTCCACAAGAATATCGATTTAGGTTTTTTTTCCCTCCGATCTTTTTTATCCATTTGCTCCTGGATGTAATTCTCCCTCCCATGCTGCGGTGCCGCTAAACCTATTTTGCCCTCCTACCTCACTTCCTGGTTATACTCTTACAGCAGTGTGTTGCAGTGAGCTTGACACAGAATTTTTTTTAATTTATGCTCAATATTGAAGCGTGGTCTGTGCTGTGGGTCTATATACGGCCGAGGCGGTGAGAAAGTGGGGGCGAGTTTAGTCCAACGACGGAGGGACATGAGGGCCAAAAAGAGCGGAGATCCAGGTGGAAAAAGGGTCCCAGCGTTCTCGCGCACCTCGCTCTTCTAGCAGGTCAAACTTCATGAGTTGTTTTCTGCAATTTGGCGGCATGGTTTGCAGTCAGCTACAATTTGGGAGAGGTGCAGCGGAGCGTCTGTGGAAGGGGACGGGGACGTCTGGAGCTTAGGTATTGCATTGCACTCATTGCACTGATTTTGTGCAGTATTTTTTGATGCAAAGCCTTGCAGAATCTATAACGCAGGGGTATTAGTATTTTTCAGTGAATGAGGTTTTAATAGGAATAGGTGGAGTGCAACTTTTCTACTTTTATTTGCTGTTGTTTCTCAAAAGAAAATGCATAACGATATTACAGCTTTCATTGATATATTTCAAATTTGAAACATTGTCAGGCCTGTAAGGTGTAAAACAAAAAAATAAAAAAAATAAACCAATTAATCGAATCAAATTATATCATGGTGTATTCTTGAGTATCGAAAATAATTGAATCTTTGGGTCAGGAAATCGATACTAAATCGAATCGCCATGATGAATGTGATTTACACCCCTATTCTCAAATCCGAGTTGCTTTCTCTTTGTGGTAATAGATTCAATCTTAACCCTCTATTCCATAGTAAAAGTGTGAGGAGAATCAAGGCTCTCTTTTTCTTTTGCTTTTGAGCAAGAAATAATAATCACAACAGCTGTCCTTAAGTATTTGTTGCATTTTTATGCTCAAGTTAAAATTTATAGTGGAGTGTTTCTATACATCAATACATCAGGTGATTTCTGAAATTTACAAGGCTCTTTGAAAATGATTCATAAATGTACTTAAATTAGAAAACTTTATTTGTATGTATATAAGTACTTTTAAATGCATGTACTTTTGAATACTTAAGTATTTTCAAAAGTGAGTACTTTAATACTTTAATTTGAATAGATGTTTGAAAGTAACTTTTACTTGTTGTTTTACTAGTTGAGTAAGATTTGACTGAGTATCAATACTTCTACCGTACTCGAGTACTACGGTTGAGTACTCCTTCCTCCACTGTTGAAAATATGTTGATCAGAGTTGATTTTTAAGTTTAAGGCAAAATCCTGAATAGACCCCAGTTGTTCCCTTTTATCTTCCATCCAATAACCACACGTACTGACATGTCAAAATGCTGAAAACATTTTATGCGAGTGTTTCTACACAACGATTTTTTTAGAAATTTAAACTTTATAGGCTTCAGCTTTTTGGTGTAACATAATCTATGGCGTGTAAAACCGGCAGGAGGCCTCAGATCACAGCTTTGTGTGGGCTTTGTTTCATTGCTGCCATTGTTTTTATTTAAATTATTATTTCAGCATTGCTGAACAATTTAGACCTCCTGAGAATAAACTGAACAAAACCAGCCTCATAGTCAAGGTAGCCTTTATTCTGTTTCTTTTGTTTGTGTGTACTTTTCATTAATAAAGGCTTAGAGTTCCCTCTAAAGGTCTTGTTCACTATAAAAATACAATGGTTATAAAATATTGCTGCTATTTAAAGACCAGAGTTTCTTTTTTTTTCTTTTTTTTTTATCTTACTTTGAATGAAAAAACTTGAGATATTCACATATTCTCATCTAAAATACCCAGAGATCAAATCAACACAGTGCAACCTTTCAATCAAGTATGAGCCTAATTTGAGAAATCTGAAATTATTTTTAGATGAATATTCAGCAATTTGTGCGTCTCGATGCTCTGTGTTTGCTGCCCTTATAAAAAAACATGAGAGGTTCAGGTTCATTGCTCAATGAGTTGTGATTCAGCGCCACTTTAGTGCAGTCTGAGCTCTCCTTAAACACTAACCCCTATTTACATAGCGTCCGCTCCACCCAGCTGTGCAACAGCAAATACGTGACAATTAACAATCAGTAAGAATATTTCCAAGGCTGTGCAGGGCAGCGGTAAATGGACAGAAATCAGGTCCCAGTAACGGGAAACTGAAAGATCACAACCAGATTTTCAGAATACTTTACCAAGCTATATGTGCTCAAACCTTGCTAAATGAGGACATTTACAAGTATATTTATATACAGGCCACTCCACGGTGGCTACTAGGTGTTTCCAGGATCAGGAAGCTGCAGCAGTGGAGGTGAAAAAAATAAAGATAATCTTACTGTAGAACCTCAAAGCAATATTTTGACCATTATATTTTGCGCTCAAATCTGAATCTTGAGCATGTATGGAAAGCCACAAGTGTCACATATTCAATCCTTTTAAAAGAGGCAAAATTTCTATTTCTAAATGTGAACATTTCAATGCTGCTTGGTGGGGCAGGCATCACATTGAGAGTATGTTTTTAATCCTAAATAGATAAATGCATATTTATCTTCATTAGGGTTGAAACAAATTATTATTTTGCTAATTGAATAATCTGTCGATACTTTTTTTTTTTTTCTATTAATAGATTAATAATCGGATAAGAAAAGGTGCCTTTAAAGTACATTTTAAACAGACTTTAAACGAGGTGAAGCTAAAACTTTCACTTTAGGAATTCTGTATGGAGCATATTTACAGATTACATTCTTTTTATTTTATCTTAAAGCTACAGTGTGTAATAATTACAGGGATATACAGTCAGAAATGTAATATATTATACATAATTATGTTATTTATCATCATCTACGAGCTCAGCCTCTTAACCTCAATATTTGCGTTGCCTTAGAATTCGTTATTTATAATTACATAGGAGCGGGTCTCACAGCCATGGAGGCAGACATCTTTGCGCTACGGCAGCGCAGAGCCAACAAACTAGCGATTGCGAGATTGCCCATTACGCTCGAAAGTAACTACGGCAAGTTGAGAGAGATGAACTGAGACGGTACTGAACAATAGGTACTAAATACTACTATAGATACTAATAAATACTATCTATAAAATTATCTATGTAAACAAACCTCATCACTTGAGAAGGTAGGTGATGCGGACGTCGTGGAAGACATTTTGTCCCGTAACGCTCGCCGTACTGTTGGGGGGGAGAAGCGGTGGGGGGAAGATGTTCATGTTGCTGCGGTCTGCAGTCTGACCGCTAGATGTCGCTGAAAATTACCAACTGTAGCTTTAAATCCAAAGTGTTTATATAATTTTTTACAATTGCAGCATCATTATTGCTGTGAATGGGTTGCTCTTTTAGCTAATGGATGAGTTAAAGTCTGTATACTCCAGGTAACAATCAATTATTTAATTAGTTTAAGATTATTTCAATAAACAAGATAAAAACACATTGTTTAATCTAGAGAACTGAATGTTTTTTTCTTGTCTTTACAATCATCTTAATGACTTCTCCAAAAGCTATTTGATACCAAAACATAGAGGGAGACGGTTTCATTGTGCAACAGTGCAGCGCTGCTAATTGCCTTCCAGGGAGCTAAGCCTGAAAGTTACACATCCAGCAGCTCTAGTAACTAAAACTTAGTGTTAATTTAAGGTTCTTAATTATGTCCTCAGAAATGAGCTTTTTAAAAACTATCAAAATTGATCATAAAGTGAAATCATACTGGTATTATTTTGACCAATTCCTTTATCAGGGATCTAGAAACTCCTGGCCAGAGTTACGTTATTAAACCATCTATATGCAAAAAGTGCTATATATATTGACCTGAAAAAATTTCAAATAAATAAGGTGACTGTCAGTTTTTATTTAAAAAGAGATAATTGGTTGGTTTAGATGCAGCTTTGCTAACCTAATGCTGCCATGCTATTTTTCTGCAGAACAAAATACTTTAACAATGTTAGCAGAGGCCTTTCAGACATGAAGCTCTTTGTTTTTTGTACGAGGGGCGTTCAATAAGTGATGCCCCTGACCCACTTCCAGATGTTTGATCGAACTGAAATTTTGCATGTGAAATTATTTAAATCTATATAGATTAAATAGCAAATTACAGCTCTGAACTAATTTTGGTTTCAGATATACAGGTGTTAAAACTGAGTCAAGTCTGTGTTTTTGAATTTGAAAGGACGCACACAATGGGAGACTTTTGATCAAATGAAAGTAACTTATAGTGATAATGTCCCATAATATGACCTTGTAAAACATTTAGCAAGGTCATATAACGGGCATCATCACCATAAGTTACTTTAATTTCATCAAAAGTCTCCCTTTCAAATAGAAAAACCGGATCACTGCTCGACACTCAACAGGCCCCATGTCAGACTTTACTCAGTTCAAACACCTGTAAGTCAGAAACCACAAATAGTTCAGAGCTGTAATTTGCTACTTAACCTATAGAGATTGAAATAACCTCACATGCAAAATTTCAGCTGGATCAAACATCTGGAAGTGGGTCAGGGGCACTACTTATTGAACACTCCTCGTGTTTTTTTTGCTGAGCATTTCATGGTGCGCTAAGAAGTTGCTGCGTCATCCTCTCTTGGGGAAATGTTTTCCCTTTGTGAACAGTAGGCCTCAATGAGCCATTAGGAACCTCAAACTGTTTATGAAATGGTCTCACTATTCTTATATCTAATGACCTTAGAGAAGCAGCTGTCTGTGCTTATTGGTTTGAGCTTTTCAGGAAAAATGCTGACTTATTTTTCCCAGAGTGTAATTCATGTCCGGAGGCTTTCGTCTTTAACGGATCCATATTGGGTTCAAGTCCAGGAAACTGACCTTCTCCCCTTTCTCTCTACTCCATTTCCTGTAAGCCTACTTTCAAATAAAGGTCACTAAAGCCAAAAAAGAGCTGGACTCTTTCAAGATATCAAGGACTCTATCAAGATATTAGTTTTAGAGAACAAATAGAGAACAAATGTTTGGGTAATAGTATTTTTTTTCTTTTTTTGACATTTTACCCAAATTTCCTGTGTAGAGATGGTCACACTTGCTGATGATCAATAAATCAAAGCAATTGATCAGCAGGTTGAATGGACTGTGTCTTCCCACCTTCTGTGTTCATGCTTCCTCAAATGTAGAAGTTCTCACGTTTAAAAAAGCAGATCAGCAGAAAAAGGCAGCTAAACGGCAGTTTTTCTCTCAATAAGGCCTGTTGGGACAGAGTCAAGGCACTATGGTCGAGTTCAGTTTGGAGTAGAAAGGGGGGGGGGCATCAGACTCAGGGCTCAGGTGACAGTTATGTTTTCTGGCTGCTGTTGAGACGATCCATGACGTAACCTCGACAACATGTTGGAACAGGATCAGTTTCCTCATAAAGAGTCAGTCGAGGGTCAGCTATAACACGTTATTGACTAAAAATGCTGATGTTTATTGGGAAAAAAATCTAACAAGCTTTGATTTCCTGTTTTTTTTTTTTTTTTTTTTTTTTTTATTATCATTTAAAAAGGTCGCAAGTCTGTTAAATGTTATACCTTTTCAGTAGGAGTGTTTTTTTACTTAGATGCATTATTTTTGTAATTTAAAGTAATAACCAATTAAAAGGATAGAGCTTTTTGAAATTTGCAATTTAATTGGGCTTTATATTTTATTTTGAAATTCCTCTGGATTAACCACAAGTATACTTGGCCTTAGTTTATTATTGTTGATTCAGTCCACTGTCAGCATAAAGTGATTGCCTCTGAGATTTCGAAATAGAAATAGAGATTTGTTTATTTCTAATGCGATCATATTACAGTTAATTGTGCATCATTACTAGTTCAGTCTAAACTAAAAGGAAATGTTTCTTCTACTTGAAATCATGTAAATAGTTAATAAATGACAAACTTATGTGTAACTTTCATATTTCCTTTCAGTTTTGATTGGTGTAATCTTATTTATCACAAAATATTTTCACACAGTTAAATCTAATTTTCACATTAACTTCAGCTGCACCACCTGACCACACAGTCTTGCTCTGTATGCTGTAGTAACAGCTTTTAATATACATCTTTTGGTTTCTAGAAATTGCTGTTTTCCGAACAAAACACTTGCTTAATGTCGCCTCAAGTAACTCGGGGAAGGTGCAATATTAAGTTGGAGGCTGGATATTAATCTGGGATTAACTCTGTTCAACACGAAATCTGGAACAAACTGGCCGTGAAAACGTTATCCGATCTAAATGTGGTATTAAAAAGGCGTACACAAATTCACTAGGGTGCCACAGTTTTTCTGTACCTAAGCGGGGCTGTCCCTGTAGTGTAGATAGAAGATGCAAATATAGTGACTAAGTAAATAATGTGAGTGTAGCTTGCCTCCATTTAAATGAGCTATAATGCAGTGGTTCCCAAAGATTTTCTTCTGGGCCCCCCTTTGGATTACAATAAGATGTCCACGCCCCCCCCCCCCCTCCCCACCCCCACCCCCCATAACCCCCCCGACCCCCCAAAAATAAAAAATAAAAAGAATCAACTGGGCACACACATCGTTCAACCAGATATAATAAATCCATACACATATTTTGTTTTCAAACTCCACTGAAGTTTATTTCACACTTCAGGTTGCAACAAAACAAACTACACCATCTTTACAGTGGAACACTTTTGTGTAACTGTATTTTTTTCATAGTTCTATAATGTAGATTAGAAGAGGATTCTTTGTTGTCTGTGTTATTTTAACAATATTTAACTTTGCTATAATCTATACATTAAAAAAGCCTCTGTGCAAAATGGAGTGAAAACATTTAACAGCTCCCTGAGAGTTTTTTCTTTGTACTTTAATCCTCCCATCTTTTCAGTGGCTGTAGTGAGCCTGCTTTTTGCTGTAGATCTTCTCAAATCTGGGTTGCAGTGTCACAACTGTCCATTATGCTCAGTCAAGCAAGCGCTGTTTTTTTTTTTTTTTTTTCTTCACTCATACCGCTTCCTGCGCCCCCCCTGCAATGGCATTGCGCCCCCCCTAGGGGGCGCGCCCCACACTTTGGGAACCACTGCTATAATGCATGGTTTCAGGTTAAAGTCTATACATTTGTTTATTTAGGGAAATTAAAATATCGCCTTTCCCTCAAATGGCTTCAGATTCTTAAAGTCTAGAGCTTTTTGGATGATATAGATTGTATAAGAAACAGACAAATAGCTAATTTTGACCCACCTATTGTGTTAATACCTTGCATTTTCTATACCAATAAAAGCATAAGGGAAGACACTAGGGATGCACGATATTGGGATTTTGGCCGATATCCGATATGCTGATATTTTAAAATTCATGTAGCTGATTAACGATATCGATACTGATGTTAAAGCTGGACAAAAATAAGTAGTCATTGAAAATAGCAGTTTTGTTATCCATTTCTGACACTTTGAAAAATAATATACTCAAATATATTTTCATATGCTGATATCAAATTGATTTTTAAAAACGCGGTATCGATCTATTTTACTTTCAAAATCTCGTGAAATTTCATCGTTCTGTTACAAACTCTGGTGATATTTTGCAAATTCTTGTGAGATTTTGTTAGTAAAATAGATCGATACCGCGTCAATATATCAACATATTAAAATGTGGCAAAATTTTGTGAATTTTCGGGGGATTTCGTAGCATAACGATGACATATAGCAATATTTCATTAGTAAAAGAGATTGATATGGTGTTTTTAAATGGCAATATATCAGCATATGTAGATATTGTGATATTTTAATGTAGCAATATTTTTTCCTTCGTCTTTAAAAGTTTTTAAGTCTGTAAAAAAATAAGTTTTTGAGGAAGAAGTAGTATTTTTATTTTTTTTTTTGACTTTAGAAACTCAGAAGCTGATCAAATATCGGGTTGAATATCGGTGGGGTGGCCGATGTCCGATATTCAGTTTTAATACCGATAGGGGGGCCGATGATATTTGTGAAGACACAAGTGTTCAAATTCATCTTTCTCTCCCAATATTACCTGGTTGATTTTGCATGATAAAGTGTCTTTAATAATGTTTGATAATTTTTTTTTTCTTTTCTCTAATGAAAAAGTCTAAGATTTATGCAAATATTTAATTGCTTTGTAAATGAAGAATAGAAACCTTTGCTGAGTGAAATGCTAATACAGATTTTTCGAGTTCAGTGGACAAACTGGAGTATAATCTCACTTCGCCAGATTTGTGCTTATTGCACATGAACTGTTGATAAGCGACAGGAGGGAAAGGTGGGTTAATGGAGAAACCAGGCAGCTCAAGTGTTGAATCAGGAGGAGAAAAACAAAACATTTCACTGTGCAGGAAGATGACTACTAGGAAGCGAAGTTCAGAGCCACTGATGAGGTGCAAATGTTAGGCAGCTTATAGTTTGTGGTTCTGCAGTGAGCTGCAACATTGAACTTTGTTTCCTCTGTTACAGGAATCCTGGTGGACAGAACCAAACAGTATTTCTACGTCTTTATTGCCTGCAGTGCCGTTGTTGCCTCCTCTGCTTTGTTCCTGATGCTCTCCTTCCTCTGGCTGGATAAAAAGGAGAGCAAGGCTGCCAAGCAGGGTCGGCTTTCAGCTCAGCCGGAACCGGCGAAACCCACGACCGATGGCTCTCCTGGCTGCGAGTACAGCAGTCTGCCCCAGGAAGGAGACAAGGCCTGAGCCTGGGGACAGGGTACATAACCAGCCCGCTAACCTGCTCGCACTGTGTCGACGTGCACGGACGTCACCTCTCGGGGCTCCAGCAGTTCTACGGATCATTCATAATATTTGCCAGCACAAATACCCTGAATGGTCAGCGCTGTTTGGTTAGTTACATACCAAAATGAACAGATGTGCTCTTACAACATGAATGTGATTGTACTCTTTGTTGTAAAATGCTGCTGATCTCAACCACGCGATTTGTCTCATTAGTCTGTCAATCATCCCAAGATATTTATGAGAGATAAAGACTTATTTTCTGAATATTTGCTGGAGTTATTGCTGTTGGTCTTTGAGTTTGCAGAGGTGGGTTCAGTGATGATCAATAGAAATAGGAACCCACCAGAATGAAGCCTCTGGTTACACATCTGTTTAATCTCCAAAATCAGCGTGGGCCAGATAATCCCAGCAGAGTATCCTTCAGCTTTCCCCTTCTTCCGCTTTAAGAGGTGAATACACTAAATGGGAAAATAGTTTGCACAATTTTTTGCTATTTTTAAAATTTTAGTGCCTGCAGATTAAAAGTACACTGATAGAAAAAGCACAAATAGGGAGAAAGTAACTATTTAAAAAGTGTATCTGTGACACTCTAAACGGTAATATCTGCATCTTGTATTTGTGATGTAGCATAAATAACGAGACTTATCAGACATGATCTTAAAGAAGGTGTGATGGGGCTTTTTGTGAAAAATGCAGAATGGATATGATTTTCAGGCTTTTATGAAACCCCACCTCCTTTGTGTTTAACTGTTATTGTCAGCTTGTTCTAGAGAAAAGGTGCCTTGGTTCCACACCATGTATTTCTATCCATCAGATCCAGATAGATCATTCAAAAGGTTTGGAAATGTGATTCTTGGGAGGTCCTGATGTTTGTTTTAGTTAAAATCACCAGACTGCGGGACTTGGATTATCATCAGTGCTTTTATCTGATTCAATTTAAATCCCTTGCAGTTTCCTTCTCCTGTTAGCGGCAACTCAATCAGACATCCTGAGTAACTTGAGGGTAAATTTAGTTGAATGTTGATGCATCATGGTAGAATCAATAACGCTACGTTGGTGGGGTTTAGGAAGATGAGCCACTTCTGATATGAACTTAAGATCAATGGAAATATTCAATTTTAATCCTTCCACTGTTGACTTTAGGTGAAGTTAAAGATCTTGAAGGCCTGTGGCTCTAACGAAAAGATGGCTAAACAACATAATGCTCCCACCACCATGCTTGACAGCTGACACTGTTTTATGGTTTTAAAAGTCTCACCTTGATTCGTCTTTACATACCTTTTTTATCACCATGTTCAGTTCTTACACTTAATCTCCAGAAGGCATCAGCAGCTGCAGATTTAGCTTTAATTTTTATCTCTAAAAACTTTCAGTCAAGCTGCTATCTTAAAGACTAAAAAGTTCAGATAAATTGGTTAGTTTTCAATGTTATACGGTTCTGATAGCATTCATTTAATATGTGGAAGAGTGGCAAAACGCACTAAAAAGATTATTCCAGAAAATAAAGTGCAAAGTTAAAATGTCTTTACCAATTCTGTCATCAAATAAACAACCAATAAACAGGCTTAAATCGGAGGGGAAAGTATGGTTGTCTGATTAAAGCCTGTATTATGGTTGCAAAGTTAAGCCTCCATGAGCAAACTGGGCCACAACAAACTAGAAACCAGCTGAAGTTGTGTAACTTGGAGGAATCAAAAAAAAATACAAAATACAAAATTGAATATGATGTAAGAAAATAAACATTAAAAACAAGCCTGGATTGGTCTAAAGGTTTAGAAATGTCTCAGCTGGAATATCATTTTTTTAGTAATTTGGTTTAAAAACTAAAACTCAGTTGTTGTAAGAATCAGAATCAGACATACTTTAATAATCCCAGAGGGAAATTACAGTTACAGATACCCACATTATTAACAGCCACCTTCAGCTCATCTGCATGTTTGGTGCTCGTTCTCCTCACCCAGAGGGGTTTTTCATAAAACTGGCATAGTTGGTCAAGTTCTGGCTTATTTATTTATATTTTTTTTGTCATTTGGCTTTCATAAAGCTGCCTCACTGTCAGCTGACTCAGTGAACTTATTCTGGTCGAGACTTATTCAGCTCTAGAGCCAAATCATTTCAAAATGCTTCTTTGTGGAATCCAGCACCAAGGGGCACTGTTAAAGGCTATTACTACCATCATTTGGCCCAAAGGCATGGAGCCATCAAACATTGCAACAGTTTAAGCTACATATTATGAAACGGATCTCATCCAATAAGATATATATACACTCACCGGCCACTTTGTTAGGTACACCTGTCCAACTACTCGTTAACACTTAATTTCTAAGCAGCCAATCACATAGTGGCAACTCAGTGCATTTAGGCATGTAGACATGGTCAAGACAATCTCCTGCAGCTCAAACCGAGCATCAGTATGGGGAAGAAAGGTGATTTGAGTGACTTTGAACGTGGCATGATTGTTGGTGCCAGAAGGGCTGGTCTGAGTATTTCAGAAACTGCTGATCTACTGGGATTTTCACGCACAACCATCTCTAGGGTTTACAGAGAATGGTCCGAAAAAGAAAAAACATCCAGTGAGCGGCAGTTCTGTGGGCGGAAATGTCTTGTTGATGCCAGAGGTCAGAGGAGAATGGCCATACTGGTTCGAGCTGATAGAAGGGCAACAGTGACTCAAATAACCACCCGTTACAACCAAGGTGGGCAGAAGAGCATCTCTGAACGCACAGTACGTCGAACTTTGAGGCAGATGGGCTACAGCAGCAGAAGACCACACCGGGTGCCACTCCTTTCAGCTAAGAACAGGAAATTGAGGCTACAATTTGCACAAGCTCATCGAAATTGGACAATAGAAGATTGGAAAAACGTTGCCTGGTCTGATGAGTCTCGATTTCTGCTGCGACATTCGGATGGTAGGGTCAGAATTTGGCGTCTACAACATGAAAGCATGGATCCATCCTGCCTTGTATCAACGGTTCAGGCTGGTGGTGGTGGTGTCATGGTGTGGGGAATATTTTCTTGGCACTCTTTGGGCCCCTTGGTACCAATTGAGAATTGTTGCAACGCCACAGCCTACCTGAGTATTGTTGCTGACCATGTCCATCCCTTTATGACCACAATGTACCCAACTTCTGATGGCTACTTTCAGCAGGATAATGCGCCATGTCATAAAGCTGGAATCATCTCAGACTGGTTTCTTGAACATGACAATAAGTTCACTGTACTCAAATGACCTCCACAGTCACCAGATCTCAATCCAATAGAGCATCTTTGAGATATGGTGGAACGGGAGATTCGCATCATGGATGTGCAGCCGACAAATCTGCGGCAACTGTGTGATGCCATCATGTCAATATGGACCAAACTCCCTGAGGAATGCTTCCAGCACCTTGTTGAATCTAGGCCACGTAGAATTGAGGCAGTTCTGAAGGCAAAAGGGGGTCCAACCCGTTACTAGCATGGGGTACCTAATAAAGTGGCCGGTGAGTGTATATATATATATATATATATATATATATATATATATATATATATATATATATATATATATATATATATTAATTCAGCAAATCTATATACCTGATTATGGAATTTAAAGATCACATAGAAAAAATATCTGAATTCTTTTTCGCTTTGTGAAAAGCAGTTTGCCTGAAAGGGTATCCTCACACTCCCACCTGTATGTTGCGGTTTTTAAGAAGAGAACAGCAGCCATTTTCTTTATTGATCAACATGACCCTTTGGTCTTCCCTAACACACATCTGCATTAATGTTGCTGACCGCCTTAACTGGACCGCAGCTCGCACAGATTCCCAGTGCCTGGATCTTTTTTTTTTTTTTTGACTTGTTGAAGTAAAGCCTGTGTGATTAATCTAAGCTTATTATTCTTAATCAGGTTATTTTTCACTTTTCTTTTTTTTTTATTAGTCCAAGCAAGATTATTGCTGACTAAAATCTAGATAAATCTGAACTAAAAGCAGTTTATTGGACTAAAACTGACTAAAATCTCCAGGTTGAAACTCTACTTAAATGAAAACACCTGGAAATGATAGGTATGATATTTTTTTCATTTACAGCAACAGAATTTCTATTAATATTTTTCTTACGTTTCCAAATACCATGCATGTTTTTACCAATAAATTAAGCAGCATGCTCATATTTCGCCATGGTTACTCTGTGAACTCTGTGATCAGCTGCAACGTCTGCTTATGTGAGCGGCAACACTGGTTGGTTGAACCTGTCTTGCATTAGTTGCATTTAGCATATTTTGGTGAAACTCGATAATCTCGACTTGATATAATGTGCCTAGGCTGAGTCAGAATTGGCCACTGAAGTCTGCATTTTCTGAGTGAGTTTTATGAACCACCCTTCTGATAAAGTGCAATGCTGTTTTTTGTTTTTGGGATGTTTATAAGATATATATGTGTGTGGAGTCTTTGGCACCCTTTGTCACAACAGTTTTCCTACTACTCAACTTTCCATATAACACTCAACAGCCAATAATCTATAGAAAATGCAATTGAGTTTATAAACATCTGGTGGGCAGTTATAATATTAACTTTACAGATAAAAAAAATCTTTGTTTTTGCAAATAAAATGTAAGATGTTAGAGTATTTAATATTTTCATGACCAATTCCTAGGTAAATTGTTGCACTCAGCAAGTCCAAGCTGGTGTTTTTATTTTTTTTGCAAGTTTCTTTGTGGGTAAAAAGCTAATGTTACCTTTAGAGGGGAAAAACTTTCTAATGTGAATAAGGGTCGTTTTAAAGCATCTACATTCTGATCTAACCATATGAACCCATCAGCTGATGGTGTAAACAGGTTGAACAGAGTTTTGATGTATTTTTCAGCCCATTTTTCATAATCTATTTTAGCTTTTTTAGTAGCATTTGTTTTCCTGTAAAAAATAAACACAAAAAATGTATGCTTCTGATGGAAACCTAGTTTTTTGTTGTTCATTCTGTCATGGAACAGTGCCTTTTTACATTACTGGCATACTGGGAAAAGATGACCTTTAGCTGTTCCTTTTCACAGACCAATTCTTAAGATGTTTCACATTTTACAGAGTTTGAATCGACCCATGTGATCATAATAAGGAAGATCAAACCATGCAGTTTCTTTTCAACAATCACTTGCTTCAGCTGATGAAGTAATATGTAAATGTTTAAAGTTAAAATCAGAAACTGCTGAGCATCAAATGAGCTTTTCAGGTATCGGATACAGTATGTTGAAGTAATAAAATGTTTAACCAAACATTTATTTGTTATCAAATGACTTATTAGCACATTTTGGAGGCTTGTCATGCTGTTTACCAAATTGTATCTTTATAAATTCTTTATTTATACATTTAGGTAAAATAAATTGTTGAATTCTGAAATTGTCCTGTGTATTTTTGGTATGGATGCATTTCGGTGCGGTTATAAATGCAGCGTGCAGTAAACCTACAAAACCAGAATCAACAATGAAGAAGCAGCTTTACCTTGTAGCCCTTAGTTGCTTAAAAATGGGGCTTAAAAGTGTGTACATATACACACACACACACACTTTTACCAATGTTGTATAGACGCCAGTATCGGGCGGGGCCCCGATCCAGCACTAAAATGGTGGTATTGGTATAGGCGAGTACCTACAAATAGGGCATCGATACCATTTTGAGAGCCAAAAGTTTATTCAACTATTTTCACCCATTCCAGGTAGGCAATAAAAAGTTCCACTGGATTAACTTTGTATTATTCTTTTTCCTTCTTCAAAGGTACTGCCACAAAGACAGGCAGCAGCTTGACAAATGCAGTTCTTCATATATACACAGACACATAAATTTCACACAGATGGGATTATTAGGCAGGTTGTATTTTTGAGGATTATTCGTGTAATTGGACCCCAATTGTGTTCTCAATCAAACCCAAAATGTGGATCACAAAGAGATCAAGACACTGAGAGAATCTATGGATGGAAGGCTTTTGAGCGTCATGGTGAAGAAAGGTGCCTATATGGGTCACTGATTTGTTTTAGTTTTTTTATTTTTGAATATCGCAAATGTTTATTTCTGAATTTTGGGTTGTTGTATAGGTTTACCTGGTGAAAATAAACAAGTGAGTTAGGTATATATTGGTTTTTTATTACGTTGCCTAATAATTCTGCACAGTAATATTTACCTGCACACACAGACATCCTTATAAAATGGCCAAATCTAAGAAAAAATAAATAAAAATAAAACCATCAATTTCCAAAAATAAGAAACTTTGATATTAAGGAGTATTTTGAGTTGATTGAGAACCTCATATGAGAACACAATTGTGGCCCAATAATAAAAATAATCCTCAAAAATACAATTTGCCTAATAATTCTGCACACAGTGTATAAGGTGTTGATGTCATTAGGCCACACCCCTTCTCATTACAGAGATGCACACCACCTGATTTACTTAATTGGTAGTTGGCTTTCAAGCCTACACAGCTTGGAGTAACATGTATGAAAAGGATGATGTGGTCGACATATTTATTTGCCTAAAAATTCTGGACACAGTGTGTGTGTATATATATACTGAATTGTATCTTTTCATAACATTTGAACCATACATTTTTACTCTTTTTGTTGCCTTTATGTTACTGCACTAATCCTCTCTTTAATATCTTTATCTTTATATTTAATCATGTAGAGCTCTTTGAGTTATGCTACTGAAATGTGCTATATAAATAAACTAGCCTCAAAGATGGCCACTCATCTAAATTTAGAAGCAGTGAAGGATCTCATGGTTACACAGCTCAGGTTGGAGAAAATGTAAAAAGCAGACTGCATTCTATTGTGCTTCTATGTTTAAAAAGCTAATTGCTAAAAACCCAAGGGATCAGTGCCATAGCTGCAGCGAAAGGTGTTGTGGATAAACTCCATTGCTTCCGTGTTTATTCTCAGGACCTTCTAGTTACTGTGCGCTGCTGCCATCTTGTGGCGGCATAATGAATAACAGCTGACAGTCTACAAGTTTAATAAACTTTTTTTAAGCTTTACTGTTGTAGAGCAATAAACCGAGTGAAATGGAAGGCATGTTCATTAGACGGTTATATTGGTGTTTTATGTGCCTTAATGAATAGAAACGAAACAATAAACGTTAAAGTGAAACCGAAAGTATTTCGGCAGCTAACAGTTAGCTTCCTGTGGACAGGAGGTGGAGGACGGTAAGTCCATAAAATATGAACTTCTGTTAAAATAACAGCGTGAGGCTCACAGGTTTAATGAGGGGAATGTTAAATAGCTAAAAGCTCCTGAATACAAAATCCACCTTCTGTGTTAAAACGAGTTATGGAGGTTCTCTCTTCTGCATTCTTGTAAAAACAACAGAGGAAACGTCACCTCCTTATATTTAAAAAAGACTCTTAAAGCGCGTGCAGTTTCTTTCTTCTTACTTTTAATTTTTGTTTAACGCAGCACAAGTAAAATTAACCTTTTGTGCTAAATGGCTGACTGTAATTAATTCAATGTGGGGTTTTGATAAGTATATATTTAGCCCATATAAAAATAGTATATCCATCCATCAATCCATCCATTTTCCATCATATATCAGATACAGTATATTCAGTATGTAGTAGGATTCAGTATGTATTAAAGAAATAGGCATAGAAAGACATATTAAGTAAGTAGACCTTCGATCAAACATCAAGAGCAGAGTTGAAAAATTTTTTGATGACTTGAATTTACAATTCAAGTCATCAGTAATATGGAGAGAACCTCCCATCCAGTGGCATCCAAATGTGTGCTAAAGTGCCTTCTTAGGGAGCCAAAATTTGTGCTAAAGTGCTCCCTTAGGAAGCCAAAATGTGTGCTAAAGTGCCCTCTTAGGGAGCCAAAATTTGTGCTGAAGTGCTCTCTTAGGGAGCCAAAATGTGTTGTAAAGGAAGAAAATATTCTAACATAGTTAACTTTGGAAAAAGGTTGGCTTTTCATTTTCTTCCCTCTCCAGGTCCACCCGGCGAGCTGCGTTTGGTAATATGAAAATCAGCAAGGCGTGTTGACATCACAGAATTACAGAGTTTAATCCAATATAAGACAATGCATAAACTTAGAAATAAGACAATGCACAAACCTACACCAGAAACTGCAGAACAACAGAGACATACATTCCATTACCTGACATAGGAGGAAAGAAAGCAAAGACGTACAAGACATCTTTGGAGAGTTTGCAAGAGCAAAATCTGATCTTTTTCTTCTATTTAGAAAGCTTTATCCTCTTGTATCTAATCCATTCAAAAAGGGCTGGCCCTCGGTCCTCCAACCAAAAGCCATCTCTGACACTGCTAGGGCTTCCCCTTATTTACTGCAAACATCTGGGGTCATTTGCTTCTTTATTTTAACAAGAAAAGGCGGAAAGCTTGTCCTGGCATCTAGAATTCCCAGGGTCATAAAACACAAGATAAGCTCCCACAGACAGCTTGTGGAATGCGGGGGCCTCACCATCCCTGGTTGTTTATTCTGGAAGACTTTTGACCTTCTGTAAACCAAGCAGAAATCTCTCCTGCAGGCTTAAATAATGTTCGCCCCCAGGAGATACTCATTTTATGGTATGGTGCTCTAAATACTTACCCATTAGTAGTTTTAAATCATTAACACAGCCTTGTTCAAAATTAAGAAATATGTTCAAGTGAGAGTGTTTACACATGCCATAAGATTAACTGTAATAAAGTCTAAAAATAATCATTTTTCTTTAACAGTCCCCGTTTTGAGGTCTGAGACATAAAGACCTCACAAATAAAATGATTAAGCCTTCTAATAGAGGAACCAAAAAACTATTTAGTATACTAAAAAACTAAAACATTAGCCCAATTTTATAACAGTCCCCTTTTTAAACAGCACCTCCTAGGTCCCCTGCCAGGCCATGTGTCTGAAGCTGAACTCCATAATCTAAACTTATCAAATGTATCTTGCGCTGTCCAACAATTTAATACTCACCTGATGAACCACAAAATTTTAACCAGTAAAAACTAAACTAAAAATACATTTCACTTATCAAACATGAAAAATCATAAAACTCAGTTATGTCAATAGAAGAAAACACACAATAGAAATATTAGCCCAAGTATAAAATTAGAAAACCAAAGCAAGATATCTCGAAATTACCAAAAAATGCTCAGCAGACTCAAAAGACAATACTCGCCACAAAAATTACAATTTGTCAATACAAAACAATAACAACATAAAAAAATACATCATAAACACATAAAAATTACAAAAGACCTTTTTTCTTTTTTTTCACAATTCAACAATAAGAAGTTAGAGTTCGTCTCTATGCTCCTTCGATAGTCTTTCAAAAATGAATATAAATTCTTCGTCAGGAAACGATCCAAAAATACGCGCAAAAAGAAACGAATGTTCTTGAAGAGTTCGCAAAAAACGAAAACACGCAATAAAAAGAAGATAAGTTAATGATGATCTTGTAGCTGGATCCTTCACGTGTTCCTCCTCGGTTGTAAACCTCAGGTTTTCCACCTGAGTGTCCGTTGCTCACTGAAAATTGGAGTATTATGCCAATTTAACAGTGAGTTTAAGGAGAGGGTGCAATCTCCTTTTCTCAATGGAAGGACACCGGAACAGGATTATTGTGCCTGTCTGGGCCTTTTAAGCCTTGTAATTCAGGAAAATGAAGTGGTTTTGGCAGACTTCTGCCCGGAAATGCAGATCCTCCTCCGCGCTGTGATGGCCCTCAGACACTCCTCGACCGCAGGTTGAGACTGTAGATTCTCCTGTATGCCCTGCAGCGTGCGCCGTGGCTCCTCAGCTGATGTGCACTGACTCCAATGGAACCACGTGTCTCCTTCTCTCTTGTAGACGGACAGCATGAGATGTACTCTCCACGACTCGGTATGGTCTGGCGAAGCGAGGTTCAGACCACTTTCTTTTGATGACCATCAGGCGCACCCAGTCGATTCCCCGAACTGATCCCGAGCCTGGACGTTCCTGTGACGTCTGGTATTTTGTAAATTCTGCTGCCAGGACCTGTAACTCATTGAAGAAATCTTTATGAGATAAATGTGCAAGCTTACCTTTCCATCCTGGAATGCGGGTAGCAGGTCCTGGAAACATCCGTCCTGTCTGGAGCTCATATGGAGAGAACCCTGTTGATTGGTTAATGATTGATCCTACACTTTATGACAGCTTCACTGTCTTCCTTTTGTATTATAAATCTGCTACTTTGGAGTTGTATTTTATCAATCCTTTGACCCTCTTTTTATATAGGGCCTACATGAGAAATGAAAGTTTCCTATCATGTTGAACCCAAAACTTAACTGTATTTTAGAAGCAGTTCCATAACTGTTAATTTGTAAATCTCCAATTTAGACCAATTTAATTTCAATCATCATATTTTCTATTTTTTAAAACCTTAAAGAATGATCAGCCTGCTTTACATGAGTCACTAAATATCAAAAATGACCTACTTTATTCCAATCATATTTTAAATCCCAAAAATTTCAACCATTTTTACCTTTGATCCATTTATTCATTTGAAAACCTATTTATAAAATATTTAATTGAATAATGTATTACCCTTTTTATATTGTTTATCAATTATCAATGCCTTTTCAGTTTTGGAGAAAGATTCGACACAGCTAAATTTATTAAATGATGTAAATCTTTAGTTTAGACCTTCCTGGATGTCTTAGTTAAACAACTTATTTTAAATCATATGAATAGAAATGCAATTTATATTCAATTTATACATTTTACTTATTTCATATCCAAATAGTTAGCTCATCTTTAATGCTGGTAATACACCGTAAAACATTTAATGTATTTTGATTTAACTTCAATAACCTCTTTTTCCGAAAAGTAAATGCAGAGATCCAAACTAAAAATTTGCCTATCAGATCAATTCCATTCATGTCCCCCTGTTTCTATAACAGAACAAATGTTCTGTCATAGAATACAATAAAAATCCTATACAACTCATTGAGATGAAATCCGCTATCACCACTAACTTTAGCCTCATGTAACACAGTTGGATGCAATTCAAACATGGTGTCCCAGTTACTGTTACAATCTGCACACCTCAATCAAAGAATTTAATGTTTGATTAAATTTATGAAATCAACACAGAACTTGGTGTCATTTGCTCAGTAAGTCAGTCTATAGACACCCATCAATCCACTTTAACACCTTAATTTCAAATTCCATTTAAATTTAAATTTAGTTTTACTGAATGGTAGCCACTGTACTATGCAAATAAAAATTTAGATCATCTTCCCTAGTAGATGAAGCGTAACACACAATGCAATTCAGCTATAGTTAAAAAAATGTAATTGCAATCATTAGTCCCTGCCCATTCTTTTCAGGCAGGAAGGGAAAAAAAAACACATTAGCATTTTGTGAGACCAACAGAGTGAATCATGGAGGAGGAATGCAGTGCCGTAACAGTTGGTGCACACCAACCCCCAAACTGCATTGTAAAACCTCTGACCCCAGGGGATGGGGTGTTCTTAACACTTAGAATTACACTGCAGGGCTTCAGGACATGAAGACAGCAGGGCGCATCAGTGCTATATCTAAAATAAGAAGAGAACAATGGCATCACACACTACAAAAATTTAAAGAAAATAACTTATTCACCACTACCAAGTTTTGTTGGCACCCATTTCGTCTCCAACCTGCAGACTGAAGAGAACCCCAGGAGTGGGCCTTGGCGCCCAGGTCACATGATCAGAGGTGAGAATCCAGGATCAAACATGAGAACACACAACAGGACCACCGCTGAGCGACTTGCCATGCCCCAATTCTTTATCTGCTGAATCAGAACGTGTCTAGAGAAGCAGTCATTCCAGCAGTGCAGAAACATCTGGATACAGTCCCGCTTTGATGAACTTTGGTCAGCCTTTCGTGGTCGACAGAGCAGGACATAGAAACCAGCAGACCAGTCATCTACTGAAACCCCCGTCCGGGTTTGTCTATGATCTTTGTGGTCCCGACTCACTGCTGATTCCCAGCCATAGAAGACTCCCACAGATAACGCCGAGTCCCTTTTGTTATCAGCCAGGCATGAAAAGCAACAGTCAAAGGAGACATCTGTTGCCAGGTCCTATGAGCAGCACTTTGCAATCACGTGCAGCATCATCATGTACAGCAGGAGAACAGTTCGCTTTCACTGACCTTCGTAATCGCTCAACAGCGTTCGGCTTTCATACAACAGTCC